TCAAAGCACAGTCCCCAGCTGGCCCCAGCCTGCACGCAGCGTTACAAAGCAGCAGTGCCGCATGGAGTCTGGGGTCAGCTGGGGGCTCCCCTGCTAAAACTGGGCTCCATGTGGCGCTGCCACTTTGAAACACCACGTGGAGCCTGACACCAGGCTCCCCACAGCGTTTCAAAGCAGCAGCATTGCAAGGAGCCCGGGGCTTCAGCTGGCGACTCAGAGTCCCCACCCGACCCTGGGCTCCCTGCACAGTGGGGAGCACAGGGCCAGCGGGGGACTGCAAATTGCATTGACTATTCAATTAGCCAATTAATCACAATTTTACATCCCTATCCCAGACAAGAGACACCCACTGGGTCCTGCTCAAAGCCTCTTAGAACAACCAGCTTCAAAGCAGGGCTCTCCAGGTTTGGCTAGAGATGCCAAGGCAGCATGGATGCGGGGGGAGAGGAGGGGAAAGGTGTCTGGAGGAGCTCCTGGACTGTGTGGAAGAACCATGTCTCTGCACAGATGGCCCTAATGCCCCAAGATCTGCGTTGATCCCTAGGAATCTGCAGGTTTAGCGATTCAGCCCCCGGTTCCTCCCAGCATCATTCACACCAGGGCTCTGAGGTTAAACAGATGACTCAGAGCTGTTCTCTTTCTCTTTACAAAACAATTTTCTTGGCCACGGAGGAGAAAGAAACTGGGTGGCCCATTGCCTCTGGGCCGCACGTCACTCCTCTCAACACATTTGAGTTCCGAGCCAGGGAAGCTGCTTATCTGCTTCACACTCAATTCTGCGCAAGGCTTAGTTTTGTTTTCAGTAACTCGTGACAACAGGCTGGTGTTTTCTCAGTAATCTGCAAGGCCAGATTATTGCTGGCACAAAAACCACTTCACCATGTACTGGTTCCACTCGGCTCCCAAATGGGCAGGGAAGCAGTTTCTGATCCTGACATTCAATTTAGCTACAAGGACACCCTCTTCTGGTGGATTCCTCTCACTACCGCTGCTGAGGTAACCCGCAACACTTGCTCATTTCTAGTATATGCAAATCAGTTCTTTATTAAACACTCACTGGGTTATACTTTATCAATTTCAAGCTCATGTCTGCATTGGCCATAATTCGATTCAATTTATGTTCAGGTGCTTTTATTTTACTGCTCACACATTCTGTGGAAGGGAAACTGTCAAGCAGGCTGGGACATAAAAAAGTAGGAATGATGAGGAAAAAAAAGGCAGGGGCATGGAGGGGACGGGAGATTGAAGTGAGGAGTTGGAGATGGAGGTGGAAATTAAATGTCACAGAGGAAATATTTTACATTTTTTTCTTTTTCAGTCCAGGACATTTTAGTTTGGATGTGAACCCCCCCACATTGTCTGGGAAGCTGAAACAGCAGCATCTTCAGAGCACTTTACAAACAGAATAGTTTAGCATCACATCACTCTAGTGGGAGGCACTCAGACAGATATCAAAGGAATGGATGTGCTATAAGCACTAGCATGGCTTAGATCAGATGTAGGTCCATCTGATCATGAATTACCCCTTATTTCACAACTGTCAGGAAGAAGGGCAAGTGACTTGCCCATAGTTACAGAGACAACCAGTGTCAGAGTAGTGATTACAACTCAATAATAATTAATGGCCTCCAGTCCTCTGTTCAAGCTCTCATCTGTCTACTATGGCCTGTGCTCACGGAATCTGGGTAGATCACACTTCCTAGGTGACCTTGAGCAAGTTACTTGACCTCTCTGTGCCTCAGTTTCCTATCTGGACATTGAAGATTATAACAATCTACCTTTGAGATAATCAATATCTATAAATCACCCTCATGTGAGAGCAGCAGTATCAATGCAGTGGCCAAGTGCGAAATACAGAGAACCTGATTGTGTGCTTTTGGTTCGGTATTTAAAGTGTCCTGTGTGGGGCTGGCTAGTCAGTCACCCCTGCCTCAGGAACTCACAGAGGACTCTAGAGACTAGGAGATAGGGGACCAGGGCAGGAGAGTGCAGGCCAGGCAGTGTATGTGCATCATCATTCTGTACAAAGCTCACAACAGAAACGTGAACTGAGTGCATGATGTAGCTGCACAGCTGTGTACATGATGTACCTGCCCCACTCAATTTGCACTAGGGATATTCTTTTAAAGGGCTCTTTTGTTCCCTTGGTACTCGGGTTTGATTCATAAGAACATAACATAAGAACGGCCGTACGGGGTCAGACCAAAGGTCCATCTAGCCCAGTATCCTGTCTGCCGACAGTGGCCAGCACCAGGTGCCCCAGAGAGGGTGGACCGAAGACAACGATCAAGCAATTTGTCTCCTGCCATCCCTCTCCAGCCTCTGACAAACAGAGGCCAGGACACCATTTTATCCCCTGGCTAATAGCCTTTTATGGACCTAACCTCCATGAAATTATCTAGCTTCTCTTTAAACTCTATTATAGTCCTAGCCTTCACAGCCTCCTCTGGCAAGGAGTTCCACAGGTTGACTACACGCTGTGTGAAGAAGAACTTTCTTTTATTAGTTTTAAACCTGCTCCCCATTAATTTGATTTGGTGTCCTCTAGTTCTATTTAGGGAACTGATATATAACTTTTCTTTATCGGCCCTCTCCATACCACTCATGATATTATATACCTCTATCATATTCCCCCTCAGTCTCCTCTTTTCTAAACTGAAGAGTTCCAGTCTCTTTAGCCTCTCCTCATATGGGACCCGTTCCAAACCCCTAATCATTTTAGTTGCCCTTTTCTGAACCCTTTCCAAGGCCAAAATATCTTTTTTGAGGTGAGGGGACCACATCTGTACACAGTATTCAAGATGTGGGCGTACCATAGTTTTATACAGGGGCAGTAAGATATTCTGGGTCTTATTTTCTATCCCTTTCCTAATAATTCCTAGCATCCTATTTGCCTTTTTGACAGCCGCTTCACACTGCGTGGAAGTTTTCAGAGAACTGTCCATGATAACTCCAAGATCTCTTTCCTGATTTGTCGTAGCCAAATTAGCCCCCATCATACTGTACGTATAGTTGGGGTTATTTTTCCCGATGTGCATTACTTTACACTTATCCACATTAAATTTCATTTGCCATTTTGTTGCCCAATCACTCAGTTTGGTGAGATCTTCTTGGAGTCCCTCACAGTCTGCTTCTGTCTTGACTATCCTAAACAGTTTGGTATCATCTGCAAACTTTACTACCTCACTGCTTACCCCTTTCTCCAGATCATTTATGAATAAGTTGAAAAGGATTGGTCCCAGGACTGACCCTTGGGGTACACCACTAGTTACCCCTCTCCAATCTGAAAATTTACCATTTATTCCTACCCTTTGTTTCCTGTCTTTTAACCAGTTCTCAATCCAAGAAAGGACCTTCCCTCTTATCCCATGGCCATGTAATTTACACAAGAGCCTTTGGTGAGGGACCTTGTCAAAGGCTTTCTGAAAATCCAAGTATACTATATCTACTGGATCCCCCTTGTCCGCATGTTTGTTAACCCCTTCAAAGAACTCTAATAGATTAGTAAGACAGGATTTCCCTTTACAGAAACCATGTTGACTTTTGTCCAACAAATTATGTTCTTCTACATGCTTCACAATTTTATTCTTTACTATTGTTTCGACTAATTTGCCCGGTACTGAAGTTAGACTTACCGGTCTGTAATTGCCAGGATCGCATCTAGAGCCCTTTTTAAATATTGGTGTCACGTTGGCTACCTTCCAGTCATTAGGTACGGAAGCCGATTTAAAGGATAGGTTACAAAC